TGGATGAGGGACCCATACCTCCCTGATATGTCTTAGAGGTGAGGCCTGTCTACGAGAGAGAGATTTAAACGTTCATTTCCTATATTTAGTTAATCGACCATGCATTCTAGTTGATCTAGTATATTTTGGGATACTTTCGATAATTGACATTTTGGAGATATGTTCTAGTTGTTCAACATATCCCAATTTTTTGCAATGTAACAAAAATTTTTGTAACAACTTTCTCTCTCTCAAGTAATACATGGTACGTGACATTATGTTATAAAATTTTTTGAGTTTGACCCAAGCATTTAGAAGTGTATTAAGTGATAATGAATTTATGCATAATTGTCAACCTAAGTTTTACTTGATGATTTTAGAATATCTAACTACAAGTAAAACAACAATCCCAATTAGAGATAAAAAGATCCCAAAGACTCCGAAAAGAGTACACTAATTAGGACTATGAACTTTACAAGGATGAATGAGAAGTATATTTTACTTTATTACTCGTGTTCGGTACTTGGTCTAAATTATTTAGAATCTGTTATATGATACTTGCATAAATGATATTATTTAGCAAAATTTGATGATGAAGTTACAAGCTTTTCTACTAGGTAATCTAGTATCCTTATGCATGAAGATAATCAATTCGGTCGTTATGGTCGGACTCTATTATGGATTTCTGACCACATTCTCAGAGCCACTTTGAGGTTCCCTATGAAATGAGGCATGAAAGGGAGCCATCTAAGAATGAATCTCATAATCATGAGGAGTCGAATGGGGAGGCACTCTCCGACCATAATGAATTTAAGAAACCTAATGGTAAGGGATGTAGTTACAAATCCTTCAGCAACACCTGTCCATTGGTTTTCGAGGGCAAAAATGGACCACTAGCAGCTATGAACTGGCTCGACGAGATAGTGAGTTGTTTCCTGACATGTCATTGTGCACCAAATGATATGGTGCAGTCGGATCAACCAAGTTCAAATTGAACGCCTTGCAATGGTGGAAATCGATTAGAACCACTAGGGGACTATCTGGGACTGCGTCTCTCACTTGGGAGGAATTCAAGGAGTTAATGAGCGAAAAGTTCTTCTCACCACTCCAATTGAGAATATTAGAAAGTGAGTTCCTATAATTAGAGCAGGGTAACATGACCGTGGAGAAATATATGGAGATCTTCATTGAGAAGTCACAATTTGCAGAGCACTAGGTGGATACCGAGATAAGGAAAATGAATCGGTTTGTTGATGGACTGAAAACGGAACTTAGGAGGCTTGTTGAAATGTCATAACGCACTACCTTTCAAGATGTAGTAGAACTGGCCACCCTTGCTGAAAAAGATAGTTATGTCCCAGATGCATCTAAGAAGAGAAAGATCAACCATGTTGGCTCGGGAAAATTCAAGAGAATTCAAGTCTTGGGTGGGAAGAAAAGTGGGGCAAAAATTGCATGCACCACATGCGGAAGGAACCATCCAGGTGAATGCAGATATGGCAAGGGAGTTTGCTTTACTTGTAGAAAACCTGCGCACATGTCAAAACAATGCAAGACTAGCCCAATCTGCTACTCGTGCGGTGTGATCCCAGATATCGCCAAAGTGAATGCCCCAAGAAGAACACGGAGCCACAAAGTGGGGGTGAGCATAGGCGGGTACCTGCCTTATTTGACAGGAACCGGAACCAAAACCGAAACCGGAACCGGCGGTTCTTTAGATATTGGAACCGGAACTGTAACATCCACCTATTTAAATATGCTTAACTAGTAATTATAAGCATACCTTATGTGTTTATTTAAAAAAAATTCTAAAATGCTAAGTATACTAGTGAGCTATAAGTAGAACTCATAATTGGAATGAGATATAAAAGGTAAGATTGGTGCTAACACCTCACAAATGACATAATTAGATAATGTGAGGGTTCAACATACAAAGTGCATTGCATACATGATAGTTGGGTAGGTATCTAGAGTGCCTAAATGAGAAAAATCTACCCAAAAAGTGAATGGAAGATCTAAATGTTGGAACACCTTTGAATAAGTTAATATGAAGTGTTAGAATTGTCGGAAGTCGAAAAAGTCGCGTAGATTGCATTTTATGCAAGTTTTTCAAATTACGGTATGATTTCGATAAACTACGTGCACAATACTCAATCGGGAGGTTTTTGATAGGGTGTTAAGCTTTGGAACTAAGTTTTGGACCTATTAGGAGTTGTTGGAGGTGTTGGAAATTTTTTACAGGATTCCGAACACAAAATCAAAAACGGCAAAATTTCAAAGGAAAGCATAACTCGTACAAATATGAAAACTGCTGTTGTTGGGAGGTCTTTTATGAAAAGTTTTTTTTATTGTAAATTATATATTATCTTGTTATGAACGCGTAGGCGAAAATCTCATCGAAAACGGAGTTCCTAGCGAAAAGTTATGCAATTTTTAGTGTTTAATGGTCAAAACGGGTACCCAGCCGGGTCAAACCGACCCAACTCGGGTTTTAGACATATAAACACGAATTCAGCC